CCTACGTCCGAAAACATCGCAGAATACAACCTGAGCAGCTCACCGTGGTTCTGTCCCGCGACCTGCTGTGGGTGGTCGTCAACGGCACTACCATCCTCAACGTCTATAATGACCCCCAAGTGACTGAAACTATTACGGCCATCACACAGTGGAACGTCCCCATGGATACCATCGTTGCAGGCGACATGAACGCCCACCACCTCCACTGGAGAACAGACCGACCAAGCTCAAGATGCGGTACGAAACTCGCTGAGTGGGCAGAAGAACAAGGGCTTCTTCTCCTTAACGAACCCGACATAGACACAACCCGGTCGGCGCCTCATCGACGTGCAACCACAATAGACCTAGCATTCTCCAATATTGACCAAGCCGCCGCGGTTGTGGAGGAATATCTCACAACAGGCTCACTGCATTACACAGTGTGTATTGAAGTACTGGCAGCAGAGGCTCCCCAGCGAGTTACAAACAGATACAAAGTTGCGTTAGGCGACGAAATGTAAAATTTCGTTGCTCATGTGAAGAGAGCATTCACCTCACTCCAGCCACTACTCGACAGCCACGAGAACATTGAACGAACAACGTCCTCACTCACAGATATTATCGAGACGGCAATCCGAACGTGCGGCCATCGTCAAAATAACCACAAGGCCGGCAAAAACCCCTGGTGGAACGAGGAATGTGCAAACACGCTACTAGACTTCCGGGTGCTCTGGCGTACGACTGAGAATCCAACGGGGGAGGAGACGCAACGCGCGCGTATCTGTTTCAAACGAATAGTTCGTCGGGTTAAGCGAGATTTCTGGCGTGGGATCATCGCGAGCATCACATCACCGGATGATGTTTATAAAGTCACACGTTGGCTTAAGCCTCGGCAGCGGATATCCCCACCCCCCATTCGGGTCGGCGAGCAGATCTTCTCGACCAACAAAGACAAAGCTCGAGCCCTTGGCCGGGCCAAACTCGCACGGCGTACAGCTAGCGACGATATCGTCGACCCTTGGTCTATACCTGTTACACCGGAAACCTCAATTCCCTTCGACCAAAAAATCTCCTACGAAGAGACACGATTCGGGCTCCTTAGCACAGGCAACACCTCCCCTGGCGCCGACGGTATTACAGTACACATGCTTCAGAAACTCTGGCCAATAGTAGGCCACCTCGTCACAGACATCTACAACGCGTGCCTGCAGCACGGCTACTGCCCACGCGCTTGGCGCACAGCCGAGGTAGTGATGATCCCGAAGCAAAACAAACGCGACCTCACAGATCCAGGGACGTGGCGACCAATCTCTCTACTCTCTTGCCTAGGCAAGGGTATGGAACGGATCATCGCCAAGCGGATGTCACACCTTGCCATCAAAAACAAGATACTTCACCCGAATCAAGCTGGCGCCCTGCCCCAACGAAGTGCTACAGACATTGCTGCCGCGCTTACACACGATGTTGAGCAAGCACGACGCAGAACGACCAAGAGAGTCGCCACGCTGGTGACGATGGATGTAGAAGGAGCGTTTGATGCCATTCTGCGAAAATAAGACTCATACTCCAGCTACGTAGGCAAGGTTGGCCGATCTTCCTTATCCGCTGGCTCGCAACGTTCCTCGCAAGTAGGTTAGCAAACGTTCGCTTCGAAGATGCTATTGCGGAAGCACTGGAGCTCCTGTGTGGCATTCCGCAAGGCTCTCCTCTCTCTCCAATCCTCTACCTGCTGGCGACAGCGGCGCTGTACAAGCTCCCAGGCGCCACGCAACGATACGGTTACGCCGACGACACCGCCATGCTCTTTGTTGGAGAGACGCTGGACGAGACTACCGCACAAGCGAACGCCGCAATCGCGGCAATGGAAGAGTGGGGGCGAAGCGAAGGCTTCGCCTTTGACATCAACAAGACAGAAGTAATACACTTCACAAACCAGAAACGAAGCAGTCTGCCACCCATCCGACACAGGGATCGGACGGTCCGACCGAAACCAGCGATGCGATGGCTTGGCATCTGGTTTGACGCGCGCCTCAACTTTAGTGTCCACGTGTCAAAGTGGGCAGCGAAAGCTAAAAGCGTTATATATCACCTGCGAAGTATGAGCAACACTGTTCGCGGCATCTCAGCTGCTGCGGCACGTAGGGCC